CAAATTTAGTCAAAACTAAAAGAAACGTGTACAAAAAAAATATATGTAGCTTTTTATAATAAGGGTCACGCTAGGGGTACACCATGTACCAAAATGGTGTATCCCATTTGTACACCAGTGCAACTCAGACACACAGACACTATATGCCTGGGATCCATAGGCATATATTGTCTGTGTGTGTCTAAGTTGCACTAGTGTACAAATGGGGTACACTACCCCTAGCTTTATTCTAACAACAACAACAACAATTATAATAAAAAATAATAATAACGACAACAATTATAATAGGAACTTGAAATTTATTCTAGTTTTTTCTGATTTTTTCTAATTTTTTCTAATTTCCCATTTTTTCTAACATTAAATTCTTTTTTTACAGTCGAGTAAATTTCCAAAATGGTATTCAATAGCCATGTATTTTACTAAATTAATCCCCAAAATTAACTAATTTCTGAGATGGTACTAATGAATTGAGAATGATATTCAGTTTAGTCCTCTCGACTACCGACCGTTAAAATAACATTAAAACGATGTTAAGCCTTATACTATTTTTCCAAGATAGTATTTTCTAACTGAGTGTTTTTTCAAATTAGTCCATTTTCGAAATAAAAATACATTAATTATGAAAAAATATTTTAAATTCTATAAGACGACAACATTATACTAAAAACTACAAGCCTAATTTTATAAATTTGGAGTAAACGTTCTAGATTATTTACAACGATTTAGAGGAATATCATGTAAATAAAATGTTAAAAAAATGTTAAAGAAATTACCCTAAATAGAAGTAAAATACAAAGAAAGTATAAAAATAGAAGTTCTTTTTCTATGTTTTACTCCTATTTATAATGATTTCTTTAACATTTATTAAACATTTTATTTATGTGATATTCTTCTAAATAGTTGTAAATAATCTAAACCATTTATTTTCAAAATTATAAAACTATATTTATAGTTTTTAGTATAATGTTGTCATCCTGTAAAATTTAAAATATTTTTTCATAATTAATATACGGAGTATTTATATTTTAAAAATAGACTAATTTGAAAAAACAGAATTTTAGAATACCATTTTGAAAAATTAGTATAAAGTTTGACGTCGCTTTAACTCCGTTTTAACGGTCATTAGTCGAAAGAATTGAAGTGAATATTATTCTCAATTAACAAGTATCATGTCAAGAATTAATTAATTTTGAGAATTAATTTAAAAGAACACATTTGTATACCATTTTGGGAATTGCTAATAGGCTTCTAAGTTGAGAATATGGCTTTAATACTCCCTTCTCAAAGAAAACACAAAACGAATTCATCCTCGTCTATTATCCCCACCCTGTAAGCCCTAGAAAGCCGCAGCTGCTCGATACTCCCTCTGCGCGTTTGAATCCTCGTCAAGATTCACAATATGGGGAGAGAGGTGGTCGGACAGAAGCAGCCATCTACGCTGTCGTACACAGTGGAGCAGCTCCTCGTCGTCAATCCCTACAATCCCGACATTCTTCCCGATCTCGAGAACTACGTCAATGAACAGGTCCGAATTAAGGAGTAACGGACCTGTTTTTCATTTTCTTTTTTATGCTTTGCTTTTGGAATGATTCTTTCAGTTTTGTTTTAGTGTTATAGTCAATACAGATTTATAGCTTTCATTATTTGAGCTATTTTTTCTTAAGCTGATGATTTTTCGTGTGCAAAATGGACATTAGGTTTCTTCACAGACTTACAATTTGGATGCAAATCTTTGTCTTTTGCGACTTTACCAGGTCTGTTTTGGCTTCTTCATATTCTTTTTTGGACTTGTAGTTAACTAATTTGATTCCGGATTTCAGATTACATAAATATATCACTTTTTGTTTGTGTTTTTTGCTGGTGATTGTAGTTCGAGCCTGAGAGGATGAGCACTCAAATTGTTGTTTGCATTTTGGTCAAGGTATATTTCAAATACTTGTTTTTTCTCTCATGAACAACCCTTTAATGATGAGCATTTGTTTTGGGACAGCTGACAGTAGTATCAGTGTTGCGCTGTAATTTCTTTTTCGCTTTAAATTATTTGTTCATTTTTTTCTTGATGCAGGCCCTCATGGCAATGCCAGCTCCAGATTTCAGCCTTTGCCTATTCTTGATCCCAGAAAAAGTGGTATGTTTATATGCGCGCGCACACACACACATCCTTGCGTTATTATTTCATGCTTGATGTTTGTTAAATGTTTAAGTAGATAACAAGAATTATTAGGATTCAGGTTTTGATTCGTCCCCTTCAATTTAATCTTGTTTCTGAATGCCATTGGGCAAGTAATCATATCATTGGGTAATGTTTAGTGCAAATTGCTGAGTAATGTTTTCTGGTGACCAGCAAATGGAAGAACAATTCAAGGCATTAGTTGTACTCTCACACTACTTGGAGGTATTGTAAAGTTGAATATCATTATTCATAATCACTATTTGTTTTGGGGGAATGATAATCATGTTGCTAGACTTCAATCTTTGATTTCAGACAGCAAGATTTCACCAATTTTGGGATGAGGCAGCTAAGTGCCGTCATATAGTAGAAGTTGTGCCTGGTATGTGCACAATAATTTTACCTCACCCCCTTTCATTTGGGAACCTGTGTATGTCGCTGCAATCTGTTGTAAACTAATGCAAGAAATAAGATTTGTACTGATGCTGTGATGTACATTAAACAATGAATGCATTGGGAGAACACAAGTGCTTGCTAGCTGGTTTCACTAATTATGCAGAGATCATTTGATTCGTGGTTTTGGTTCTCGTGACGGGTTTAAGTAAGATACTTTTGCAGGTTTTGAGCATGCAATTCAACTGTATGCAATTCATGTTCTTTCACTGACTTACCAAAAAGTCCCAAGGAATGTTCTTGCAGAGGTATGCCACTCTTTATCAGTATATTCCTGTGTTTTGAATCTGGTGCTACAAATGGGCCCTGGATGTGAGTAAGAAGAGAACTAACATCATTCTTAGCTAGTTCATTAAATTTATACAAGATTATAAATCATTTACAGTATTTGCTAACACAAACTGTATACAATTCAATTTTAATACTCCGTATATGAAATGATCCTTTCCTTCTCTCTATCATGCAACTTCATATAAAACTGGAATTAATTTCATTTTAAGTAGTTACTTTATGCATGCTCTCCCTTGTTCAAATCCATGCAGGCCATCAATGTCGAAGGCCTTTCGCTGGACAAATTTCTTGAGCACCAAGTGATAAACAATGGGTGGGCCATAGAGAAAGATCAAAGCAGGGGCCAACTCATTACCCTCCCCAAAAATGAGTTCAACCATCCATCCCAAAGGAAAAGCACAACTGATGCTGTCCTATTGGAACATGTCGCACGCATATTCCCCATACTTTGCTGATTTACCCAATTGAGTTTGAATGCCGCACACAAAAAGGGCTAATTTTTTAGTCCGCGAACAAACCTGAATTGATACCGCTAGGTTTATCATTGGACGCACTTGCTTTTGTTTCCTTTTGAACCGTGATTGTCATTGCGCTCTCTTTCTATGTATGTTGGTGGGACTCAGAATTGTTCAAAACCGTGTGTACTATTTCCGAAAGCTGACCTTTTTGGTCGTTAATGATTCATGGGATGTCTTTATTACACATTATTTCTTATAAGGGAGGGATTCTATCACTCTTTATCAAGATTACAAACATCCAACCTACCTAACTATAAAATAATCAGAAAATTATCCCTCCAACATCTTGACACCATTGTAAATGGTGATGTCATGGCAAGGCTATGAGCAATGACATTACCCCTCCCAAAAGACAAAAAAGGCAAGGCCATGAAGTAAGAGACTGTTGAGTCCTAGAGATGAACTATAGCAACAGTTTGCAGACAATGTGAACTCACTCCACCCCTCCCAAAAGACAAAAATGGCAAGGCCATGAAGTAAGTTCTGAATAACCCTAGTTTCTACTTTTGGCTCCTAACCTTAAACAATGTGATCTCACTCCACCTGCATCTATTACTTCTCGTGTCTACACACCTATCCATGCACAACATAGCCCCATTGGTCAAAATGTGAACAATTACTCAACAAATTACTTCAGAAATCTAATTAGTCAAAATGCAAACAATGTAAATAATTATGGAGTACATGTCAGTTTTGAGCCATTATTGAGGAAGAGTAGATTGAGTTCAACTATTGTGCGCAACAGCAAATTGAGTGCAACTCCGTAAACAACAAAAGAGGCAAGACCCCAAAGCCTTGTACCTTCGCTCCTTAAACGCAAACAACCCTAGTTTCTGTAGGTTTGCTGCATTTGTTGACTTGAAGAAGAAAGAAGTAGGGGTTAAATATGGAATTTCATTGGCTATTATTACTGAAAGTTGCGGAGTGGATAGCTGTAACGGTGGGTTTGACAGAAGATGCCCCCGACTCCCCGGGTCACTTACCGGATATTTTAAGGGACAGCAGAATATATTCTAAAAATTCATGGAACATGTTAATTCTTTTAACCATTAATTAACCACATCATTTCTAGATGACTATTCACACAAATTTTCTTCAGATTACTGACAATTAGATATTCTTCTTCCATAACAACTTTACCACAAGTAGAAGTTTCATCTTTCGTCTTACTTGTTGAACATGGAGAGAACATTAATCTTTAAACGATCGAGCATTTGGAGAGTTTAATATTTTCGTTTACCAAGAGAATGGCCAACCCATGTTAATCTTCATTCGTGGCAGTCAGTTTACAATTAACTGCAATACTACAGAGTAAAATATACTCCGTATATTTTTGCTATGGCATAAGTGGCTTCCTGAAACACAATGTTACTCATTCATGCAGGTTTTGGAACCACAATGTATTGGTCCATTTTCACTCATCATACTGTGCTTGATGAACAACAATAAGCCTGTGGGCAAAACGGTCTAAGCCTTCCCCGTCCCATCTTTCTAATGCAAATGTGTCTCAAAAAAACATCGAAAATTTGNAAGTAGTAGTAGATCTTCATCAGTTCCAGTCAAAAAAAATTTTGCTTGCATATTCATTTACAACAACATCGCACAAAAGAAAACAAGTTAGGAAAGCAGCAGCACTTGCCCTCCTGAAAGAATAGTTTTTTTTTTTGAAATATATATTTTAAAAAAATCAAATTGGCTTTGTCAGTGCCCTGTATAAAGCTCGGTGACGTTCATCCTCCCCTCTCCACTGCACATTTAGATCAATGACAGAGTGTTTCTCCATATGTAACCCAACCCACAAAACTGTCTGAAAATTCCTCTAGAACTTTATGAGTGTGGGCATCCTTGTAATCAACTCCAACTCCGTCACCATAACACATCTTTCCCTACAAACAACACATAAAGTACATGTAATCAAAAGCCTGATCTTGCTGGCACTAACAGTTTCCGTGCGCGCGTAGTAACCAACTAACCACAGAGTTACATCCAGGCAGTGTTTGTTACAGAGGAGACATTTTTTCACGGAAATCATTTTACTGTTTTCCTGTGAGGAGGAAAATCTTCTCTTGTGTTATGGCTTGAGATTGTTGAGAAATCAGTTTTCCATCTCCTTGGAAATATGTGTTTTGCAGTACTATTTTCAGTATTTTGTAGCCTTGTAATGTCAACTTCTGGCGACTAGAGAATGGCTTGCCCAACCAGTATTTTCTAGTTCGCCAGACACTAGAAAATGAAATTGAAAATAACTTTTTTTGGCAAAATCTTTTCCATAGAAATTTAGTAAACCACCCTTTAGTCTTATATCTTGGAGCTACAAAAAGGAAACTATTTGCAATTACTAGCCAATAAATTCACATCAATATAAGAGTAATTTAGCCCCTTTGTGCGGGTGGACATGGGGAGTGGGGTGTAAAAAGTAGTTAGAATATAAATTTATGACACAATTAACTAGTCAGACTACGAATTTCACGAAGGTGCAAGAGTAACTGTAGTACTGTGCAAATGGAATGAGACAAACTGAGATATAGCAGAATAGATTACAGACCTTCGTACTATGTTCACCTTCACTGGGCATGTCTCCGACAATAACATTGGCAACATTATCTGATGATGCACCAGCAATAGGAGAGGCTGTGTACATTGATCTGCAACCAAGCAAAAATCATTGAGCTCCTAAGGCCCTACATTTCTACTTATCAGCCTTCTCAACCAAACACCAACTTAGCTGAATGCACGGGTTCATAAGGTTGATAATAAAAAAAAGTAGAGCAGAGAGTACTTATGATGAAAATAATGAAAGAATTAAAATGAATGGAAATAAAAACATTACTGTACAAGTCCAATCAGAATGACTACAAAACAACTTCATGCAATTAACAGTTTTGAAAACGGTGCAGGAAAAGTTGAAGAAAGTCTACCCATTAGCAGGAAAAGTTGAAGAAAGTCTACCCATTAGCTATTGATATTAAAAATTCTTCAGTATCAGCCATTACCCCATTCAACACGGGTGCATAACTCATCTTTTGGAGGGGCCTGATGGAGATGAGGTTAATTTAAAGGTCTGCTCTTAGTCCTATTATGTTCCGATGTGGCATATTCAGGGGGGGGGGGGGGGGTACCCTGGTGCATGTTATTTACGGACAATAGTATTCTGATTGACAAGATGCATGAGGGACTCAATGATAGGTTGGAAATGTGGCACAAGTCCTTGGAATCCCAAAGCTTCAAATTGAATGTTGCTTCGGTTGTCGGACAACTAAGTCTGGGCGGTATGGGAAAGAAGGATTTACTCGCATCCAGTACCTTAAAAGGGACAAATTTTGGAATCTTGGATCTATCATTCAAAACAATGAGGATGTTGTCCATCACATTGGATTCGGGTGGGAAACATAAAAGCTAGAGTCAAGTGTCCTTTGTAAAAAGAAGATATTGATCAACGTGAAATAAAAGTTTTAAGTGGTGAGACCAGCTATGTTATATGGAGTAAAGTGCTAGGCGGTGAAAACTCGCGTACGACAACATCTAAGGGGTAGAGATGGGGATGATGAGGAGGATTGATGGTCATACGAGGATTGATAAAACCCACAATGAAATTATTCTAAGAAGTATGGGAGTGGTCCCTATTGAAAATAAGCTGCATGAAGTGAGATGCCAGAGGCTTATATTAATTGTGCTAATCCTTTCCTTGCTTATATTTATTGTGTTAATCCCTTTGTAAGAATGACCAAGTAAATATTTTGCAGCATCAAATCCTTAGCTTTTTCAGTATAAGAGCGAAGTTTTGACTAAAGGGTAAACAAAGAACATAACTTTTGAAACATCAGACAACCATACTGAATGTGATTCCTTTACCAAATGGGTAAGTCTATTCTGAATTGCAATCTCTGAAGCAAATTGTAGTGAACAATGAAAACAGAGAAAATCCTAAGTAATACAAGGGATAAATAGATATGAGGTTGTTTAAAACAGACAGTACTAGAAAGAGAACATTCATAGCAGGCACAATTATTATTATTACGCTATGAATTATGAAACAAGTTCTTGTATTTCTCAAGCTTACAAAACCTGCATATGAATTATGAAAGACCGGTGGTAAGCAAACTGGAGAGTGGTGGGTTGCCTCTCTGGCAGATTGAAAACGTAAAAATAAATCCAACTAAGCTGCCTAGTCCGAGTTTCTGATTTTTGGAAGAGCACAGAATGTAACTCAGCAGTTGCAAAATTATTACCTTTCTAATAGTTCTTCATCATAAGAATTCCCAGATGAAGAAAGCCAGTCTAAGTCTACAAAGTTTGAGCAGTCAGATGCATCCCCACTTTCGTGTTCTATGAGTTTATCTCCCTGCAGCTCTACAAAAACCTCCCTTCCAGGCATGGAGGGAGTACACCTGGACAAGATATTTGAATGTGAAAGCAACCCAATCTACTCGGCTGACAATCTTCATCATTCGAATAAAGAATTCAGTAACAAGTTTAATGATCATATGTTATTTATATTTAAGAAACAATGACAACAACTAAGTATAATTCGAACTCTGTTGGGGTCCGGATCTACGCAGTTCCTTGAGGCATTGCTGCATTTACTACCCAAAAACTTCATAGAAAGTAAGATGCGGAGGAAGTGAAAAAAATATCATTATCAAAGGTCTAACAAAGTGAAACAAATTTGCCATAACGTGAAAGAAGTGATAACTAGATGGGTTAGGAATTTTGAATTGAGATGAGGCAAGAAATAGCAAACATGAAACTACCCGCGAGTATAGTTGAAATAAAGAGAATTAATAAGAGGGCTAACCACAAAAGATATTTTGATCACATAATAGCCACCAGCAGGAGCATTCAAACTGCCCCAAGAACACATTATGAAGTATAGTTATTGATTTATTAACTAACCAATGACAATACAATTGAAGGTAATGAGAGAGAATAAAGGGGTCAGCACAATTATCCCATATCCACATGATTTTTTAGTCATTTAATATTATTTACATATTAATTGAAGCGTAAATGCCTCAGATGACAGGCTGTGGTTTATAGGCTTTTCTTAACCTCACATTCGGTTAAATGGGGCACAAGATTAATTCATGTGGGCCAGATCTGTACACCCTCCCTAGAAAGCATAGTACCTCCATCTTACATGTCAAATTTTGAATGTCTAAATTTGACAAAAATGTGGATGACAAAAATGTGGAGGATAATATCATCACACGAGACGTCTACCAATATTTTACACCCTTTGTCCCAAAACAGGACTCGTGTTAATTAAAAAAATCTATTAAAAAAGAATTATGTTTCAACAAATGAAACCAGCGTTGCACAGGAATTTGGGCAATTTCGCAAAGCGATATGCCGAACAAGATAAAACTAAGTTAAACCAACAAAAAGAACTAGAAAATATATAGAAATACAATAGATGATTTGTAAGAGCTGCCTTGCACCTTACCAAAATATTAAGAGCTTGTTCTCTTCAACTTTCCTTATTACTTAGACCAACCACATCTTATCAAACCGTAATAAAATCAGATTAGATCCAATTAGATCTAATAAAGAGAACAGGCTCTAAATTGTAATTGGTGAAACAAAATTTTCCTTTGGGACGGAGGAAGTACAGAATAACTATGCATGCATTTTCAGGTGTTTTATAACTAAGATACACTTCAAGTTGGCACATAATGCAAGGTATCTGAAACTAAACAGAAGTGCATACAGAGTTATATAAAAATGTATCTGGAACTTAAAACACAAAGCGAAGAAGACTTAAAGTACTACACCACAGATCTTGAAGGGAAAATCTATATATTTTTCATTTCAAGGGTAAAAGAGTTAGGTTAATTACAATAATTTTATTCTGGCACACAAAAATCCAACTGATATTTAGATATTATGATGCATTCAGCAACAAACCAAAAATCAACAATAAGGGTGTAGTTGAGTTGGCTAAAATAGCAGCGTTCAGTTTTGGAGTTTTAGCTATGGTGTTTTGATAAATGTATTCTTTAGCGGAACACTAGGCATACACGCTAGATTAGGAAATTTCATTCACCCTAGAATTTATTTCCTTGTTTTGAGGGTTTGTAATGGATCTCTCTATTAAAGATGAGGTTTACGCTGAATAAAATAAAACCAGAAATTGTCATAATTATGTAGTAAGGGGTTAGAAGAGGACTCAACAACATCTATTTATTCCAGGTTTCCTTTTAATTTCTTCTCATGTTTACACAAGTTTCATCATCTCCTTTGAGTGCAGTACACATCTTCCCTCATGGAAAGCTCCTGCCGTATTCTTTCAACCCATTGAGATGATCCCTGTCCTGAGTATTTAGCACACTAGTATTTGAGAAATCTTGCATCTAATGTTAAACCACATAAGCGCAATATGGAGCCTAGGGTGTATAGAGGGTGTTTGGGAATGTTAGCTTTTTATGAAATGATTTTTTGACTACATAATCCAACAGAACCTCAGAGCTGCTTCTCAGCTTCTGCACCTCAATCTATACCAGAAGTTAAGAATTGGTCACCACAAGTGTTGTCAAACATTACCAAAGTGCTTATATCCAATGTAGAAGCGGTGTCTCAGACTTTCAGTCACCAAAAAGCACTCACAAACACCCCGATAATCTCTTAGTGATACAATTGCAACTAAGAATTCCCAAACTATTCTACTCTAAAAACTCCAAGGACTAAACAATACTTCAAGACAGTTCAAGTTCCATGATCACAAGATCAGAATGCTTTCTAACAGCTAGAGGAGTAGAGGACTGATGTTGAATACATAGCCATCTTGTCCATTTAAGAGTTCTTTTAGCTCACAACAGAAAGATTTATTGCAATACCACAGCCAATCATGCAAAATGAATTACCTAGAAGCCGTTAAACCAATTTGGCAAGTAGAGATTTCTGGGGTTGATGGAAGAACTTTGCTTCCTTGTGATTGATCAGAAAAATCGATGTTAGAAAAATCTCTTTTGAAGGACCTGGTGGGTGTGGGTGATTGAATTTCATGGAGAATATTCCCATCTGAGAATGATCTTTTGAAGACAGACCTGCATAAGAAATGCAGGAACTCAGATATCTAATTATACATAATGCAAGCGAGAAAATTCACATCAAGATCAAGAAATATATTAAACAGTGTTGAATTATTAGGTGGATCCGTGGATTCTAAAATGAGATTCATGAGCTACTCATGAGTGTTCAGTTAATATAGTGTATCCTGTTATGTCTAAAAGGGGCACAGAAAGAACTATAATCTCGACTTTTACCATCTCAGTTTATCAAAATTTGATCATAATACTCCGTATGATTTTCAAATGCAATATTCATAGAATATAGAACCATCTCCACCTATATACCTTCCATTTTCATCAATATTTGGAACCACATTCCTGCCCACAGTGTAATGCTGGTCAGAATCCAACTCCCAAATGTCAGGTTTTCCTTTTTGAGGCTGAAAATGCCCCAAGAATCTGCTCAAAAATATCGATCGCATTGGTTAGTTAATTCCAAACAAAGCATAACAAATTAACCCGTGTAATGTCAAACAAGCTTAGAGCCCCTTGAGTATTTGATAACATATATATGATGCTCTAAACGTCTTTCTAGGTTTCTTAGCCCCTTAAGCCCAGTGAACAAAGAGATGGAGTACTAGATAGCAATAAGGGACTAACATATTAATAGCATTTTGTTTTTCTGCATCCATATATGCATTGTTGTAGTATCTCTGAAGAGTTCTCAAAAACTCCTGTGATTGAGTTGCTGCTTTCCACTGACCCCTTCTCTCAGAGAAAATCTAGAGAATAACATATATACAAGGCATCAATAGCAGGTTGGGAAGTGGGAACTGATGAATAAACTAGGCACACCACACGATCACTACAGATAAAATATAAAATATACCAGCACTCATACCCTTGATGTAAACTTGACAAAATTGACTACTAGCTGAAAATACCAGGTTTAACATAAAAATTGACAACTAGCTAACGAAGTGAAATTTGACATTTGAATTGACTAATGGCTAATAAAGTGGAGTTACCTTGTTATGAGCAGCAGAGCCACCATACTGATGGGCAAGTGTATCACCCATTCTCTCATAGAACCCCATTAAATCCTCAGCTAAAGGATCATCAAGGTCAATATTTGTTGCGCTTGTAACTCCTAGAGCACAAAGCTGATGACCCAAAGCAGCCAAACCATACGCATATTGTGCCACATTAGTTCTGTCCAAACAATCTATGCAATTTGTCCTCAGAACCCCCTTCTGTAATAATGGAGCCTTTATGGAAGGAACACCATCCGATTTCCCTTCAACATTATCAAAGCTGTTGTTCTCGTCACCACCATGTTCCTCGTTATCAGGATTACAATGTCCCAATTGGGCGATAGAGCTTGCATCAGCACTCCTGTGCCATACATAATTGCTAGCTATTCAGACCAGTTTGATTTAGCATGAAAGTAAATTTTGAAAAAAAAATTAAACAACAAAAACTAACAATGAAGAAGAAATCTATGTCCATTTTTATGTGCATATATTTTCCTGGAATCCTAAATGAGCAACTTACACAAGTTGAGGCCACCTTGGAGATGCTTCAGATAATAAGGGTGGTGTTGCTTGGCAGTAGAAAAACCCAGTTAAAGTCAATGCATATGCAGCCACTTTTCCCAGGAAAAACAAGACATTTGTGTCTTTACTGGAGAACAGAAAAAAATGGAACTTATATGAAACAGGATACTTAACAATTGAAAAGCATAAAAGATGCAAAACCAAATACCTCCGTGAGTGCTTGTGCAAGTCCCAGTGAAGAAACTTAAGACGATGTTCTTCTGATAAATCCTTGTTGATAGATTCTATTGCATTAGCAAACTCAGTACGAAGAATGGATTCCCTGGGTTTTTTTTCATTGGTCTGGCAAAAGCAAGACATTTAACTAGCTTAAACAACCTTGCAGTGTGTTAGGGCAATGAGGTGTGCAGTTTTCACATATAAGACAGAAGGATAAAAGCCCTTAGGTTTTTTCAATGGTATCATTCCCATAACAAAAATCTTGTCAAACTCAAAATGTATAAAGAAAGATTTGAAAATTAGTAGTCCATAAAATTCTAAGGATACTGTTCAAATCTCCTCACCTTTATTAAATTCAAAATAATTATGGGGTTCCCATATCTCTTGGCAAGGTTCTCGAAGTGCAGTCTGGTTGCTTTGTAAGTTTGATCTCTCTTTGACACTGAATGAAATCAATATTATTTATATAAAAAAACAAATTTAGAAGGCTTAGAAATGTAGACAATCTAGGTATGAATGTTATGAGATATCATACATGCTATATCAGGCTTAAGATTTAGGCGTGACGTTTCCTGTGACCAAAAGAGTGGAATTGACCCACGGTTTTGGACAACTGAGCTAATCTGCATTGGAAACCCTTCTGTGGCATCCTCAAATACAATTTGTTCTGTCTCAACATCATTGGCTACTCTGCCCTTTTCATTCACACCCCGTTTCAAATATCTATTCAAAGTCATGAGTTAAACATCAGCCATCATGTACAATAGTTCCAAACAAAACTATTGATTTAATTTGTTGTTTTAGTAAGATAATATCATCAAGCAGTAGTGACAGTTAATTACTATATGTTTGTTGAACATAGATCAATAACATCTGTGCCTGAAAGTCAAGTGATAAGATATTATGTACTCAAGAGCTTTGTTTAATTAAGCTTAAAGACAATGGTTACCCATATTTGATGAGACATGGTTAAATTTGACTCTCAAAAACATATCATCTAAATGTATACCAAAAATGTTAGAGAGCAACTCCAAACTGCTAGGACATGTATAAAAATGGTGCATGTTACACACACGACAACAATAACAACAAAACCCAAAATAATCTGGTAAATTGTATGTAGCAAGACTGCTAAAAATAGAGAGGTTATTTCAGACTTTCAGTTAGCCCCTTGATACATCGCTGTAGTTAATACCCAAAACTTCATAGAGAGTAAGAATCAAAAGGAGTTTAATGTGCCATTTTGCTTTAGAATGATTTAGACGATTATTTACCCGAAGGTAAAAGTTTTTCAATAATGACTCTTTTAGTTCCGCTGGCAACATAAATCAATACCCCCCCCCACCCCCTCAATCTTGGAACTCTGATATTATTTATGCCCACCTCATTATAGATATAACCAACCATAGTACAATTGAAGAAATAACTCAACTAGTTATTTTCCTGTTCGCACATGTGATGTACAAATAAATCCTAACTGAATCTTCACACGAACAAACCATCAAACCACTTCAATATGCTTTGTCAACTC